GAGTCTGCTCTCAGGCCGCAGGGTCAGGGCTGGGAAGTATCAAGTGAAAAGCTGCCTTCAACTCTGTCCTTCACAATCCTAGTGCCTCGGTTAGTCGGGACAGACCAGAGGATTCTTTGGTGTCAGGCTTTACCACGTGAATATGCAGCCCTTTCTTGGGCCTTTGATATGGAGACTCCTGTCCCAGCTCTGATTTTTAAAAGCACATACTTTTTGTAGCTCCTCGTTTTCATATTTTCTATGCAGAAAATGTCTGAGACCAAAGGCTCTGGTCTCAGTAGACCGGGGTTTGATGAGTCAAAGGCCAAGGAAATAATCGTGTTGCGTCTTCGCCTCTAGTACCCAGAAATGTCAGAGAGTAAGTGTTCAGCCTGTTGCCCATCAAATTGGCGGAGACTTAAAATCAGTGATACGGGCTACTGTGTAGTAAGACGACACTTGTGTGCATTCCTGAGGAGGGTATAAATTAGTACAAGTTTTCAGAAAAGTAGCTTGATGACACGTATTCAGGACCCTAGTATTTTGATCCTATTACTCAGCAATTTCACTTTTAGCTTCTATTCCAAGAAAGGAGTTGTAAGCAGAGAACTGATACAATAGTAATAAACATTTATTGAACTTGTCCTCAGTGCTTTCCACGCATTATTCCACTTAGTGCTCTGGCATTTCTGTGACGGGAGCGCTGTTCTCTACACTTTACGGAATAGCCAAGAGATGCTTAGAGGGCCACACCGCTACTGAGCGGCAGGTTCAAGCTCAGGGCCAGTGCTTTCTAGGCCACGCACCCCATGCTGTTATCTCCTGCATGATGTCTTTTACCTCTAACGTGGAGAAATATTTCAAACGTCCTAAAATAGATTAATAGATTCATGATACATCCTCACTGAAAATTGTTTTAGGACTGCTTATTAAACGTAGGGAAAATAGTCTTGGTCCATGTCAAGTTTCAAAATAGGCTGAACAGTGTTTTTAATGTGATACAGTGTAGCTTTAATGTTAAAGTTTATGGTCCATAATCTGAAAGGCTACATATTGTGTGAGTCCAACCGCTGGACATTCTGGAAAAGGCAAAACTGCGGATCTGCTGGCTGCCAGGGCTTAGGGATAGAGACAGATGAATTAGGTGGAACACAGAGGATTTTTAGGACAGTGAAACTATTGTGTATGATACTACAGTGGTGGATGCATGTCACTGTACATTTGTCCAAACCCATAGAACGTAGTACACTGAGAGTGAACCCTAACATAAACTACAATGTGTCAGTATCGTTTCACTGATTGTACCAAGTGCACCACTCTGGTGTGAGACGTTGATAGTAGAAGGGGTTATATATGTATGGAAACAGCGGGTATGTAGGAAATCTCTATATTTTCTGGCCAATTTTGCTGTAAACCTAATATATCTTTAAAAAATAAAGTTTATTAATTTTTTGTAAATTATGGCATATTAAAAAATTGGAGGGAAATATATTTTTAAAAGCTACCATTATGTAACTTCAAGTTTAAAACTATGCAGTCTCACTACTGTAATATAAAATAGGTAAACAAGGTCCTACTGTATAGCACAGGGAACTATATTCAATACCTTGTAATACCCTATATTATATAGGGTATTACATATATATATATATATATATACACACACACATACACACAGTAGGAATCATATGAGGAATCATATGAGGAATGAGGCAAAAGTGAAACCCATGAGACCAATTAGGAGATGGTTGCTTTGGGCTGAGGCTGCGGCAGTTCCAAACATGGTGAGAAGTCGCAGAATTTACAGTATAATTTGGTAGAAGCACGGACAGAATCTGCTAATAGATCAGATGTGGGTTGACGAAATGAAAACAGGTAAGACTGACTGAGAGTTTGCACAGGGACCAGAGGTGGAGAGATGGGTGGTATGTGGAGAGGGAGCAACCGAAACAGAGAAGTCCTTGCCAGGCAAGAGAGGGTGGGATCCAGAAGCCAGGTTCCAGGGTTGGGCGTCAGTAGGAAGGCAGGCAGAAGCTCCGCGTACAGATGCAGGCAGGTGACTGGGTTCGGTAGCGGAAGAGGAGGCTTCCTCCCGGCAGAAATACCTACCGTACTGTGTTACAACTTTCTGCCTACTTTCCGTCCCCCACGAGGGAGCCCCTTGAGGGCAGGGACCATGACTTGTCCACTTGAAGCCTAAGCAGTTAACACCACATTTGGTCCACAGAAGGCTCTCCTATGTCTCTTTAATTTTTACCAAATGTTTTAAAGTTATAGTCTACAGTGAGTACTACTATTTTAATAATTTGCAAACACTCACTTTATAAAAGTAAATGACTAAATTCAGTCCTGAAAATAATTGAAATTGCCCAAGATGTTAAATTTTGATGTTATCCTTTTTCAAGTGGTATTTTCAAAATCCTTAGTGCCAAAACACAATTCAAGAGGTATGATATAAAATGATACACAGTGTAGGTCCAGTTTTAAGTTTGGAAAAAATAAAAAGTATATCCATCCAAAAGAAGGTAAAAGATTTTCCACATTAAAAATGTTATGAAACATAATTTCTATAATAAGAAAGGGATTTATCTCTGAGGGCGGGATAACACTATCATGAACTAAACTAAATTTTCTTTATATTTTTATTTTCTATAGTTAATAATTCTTATAATTAGAAAATTGTTGAATAATCATGACTCAGCTGTTCCAACTGGACTGAAAGCTCTCTATTTATGTGATGTGTTCTCTTACAGTTCTAGGGGTACCAGAGGTTGAATTCACAAATTCGTTTATTCTTAAAGGACCCCTCTGTGCCTCAGTTTCTTAGCTGTAAAATTGGATGATGAGGGTACCCACCTCCTAGTGTCAGTGTGAGGATTCCATCCATGACTACCTGTTCGGTGCATAGAACGAGCCCCGGCACACAGAAGCAGTAAGAGAGTCTGATCTGCTGTTGTGGTTTATGGAGTATCTTTGATGCAACACACTGGACAGTAGGCCTGTTGGGGAGGGAGGGGGGTGACTTAGGGAATGAAGGGCGAGACAACGAGTGGTTTGCTGCCAAAATTTCTGTGTAGAATTCCAACAGAAATCATACCAGAAAAACGACACCAGCAAAAGCTCTGCCAGTGTTCAGTTGGCAAATGCGAGTAGTTGCAGACACATCACAGAGCGCTCCTCTCCTTTCCTTGTTCACATCTTCCTCCCACCCCCGGCTCCACAAGGGGAGGTTTGCTTTCAGCAGTTAAATAGCTGCTGTACCTGCTTCCATCACCCCGTGCCGTGCTGTCCTTTCGTAGAAAACGAGGATGCTGGCTTCGTGTGGAAAGGACACGTGTGCCTTCGGTTGTGCTGGTCTGTTTTCCTTCCCTCGTCCTCGTCCAGCCTTGCGTGTGGAAGGATGGCTTGTGGAGCTCGCTGGCAGTGTCTGCAGCAGGGGACAGAGACTTGCCGTGTGGGAGGTGACGTTGGGGGGGTGGGCAGCAGGCTTTAGGCAAGCTCTTCTCACGTCAGTCCAAAGCACTGACTTCGATTCTCTGTCAACACTGTGAAGTCAGTCTTATCTCCAGTTGAAGTGATTTTTGCCCAAAGCCACTTGGTTAGGTGATAGTAAAGCTAAGGTGGGAACAGGGGTTTCCTCTTCCAAATATCACTGCACAAACCTCTCCAGCTGGGTCCCGTGACCTGGCTGTTTCTATAAAGGAAGTAGCAGCATCTCGGTGCCGTCACGCGCTGCTGTAATACAGCAGACCCAGTAATGGAACACGTTTCCTCTGGTGTATTATCCGTTAGCTTTGTTTCTCACTGCGACTTACAAACAGTGGTTGCTCAAGCAGCCTAAAATCTGTTTTGGGAATGTTTGGAGATAGGTGGATAGGTAGATAGGCTGTCAGATAGATGACAGACACGTGCACATGTCATTGTTGAGTAGACAAAAATATTATTTTAGCTGCCTCTATCTACATAACAGAGAAAAAACTACAGTGCTATAAATGCACTCCTACTCACTCCGTTCTGGACACTCTGCTTGGCACTGAGGAGAAGAGATGAAACATGATCACCACCCTCAAAGAGCCAAGATGGGAGGTGGAGACAGAAAAGCAAAAGAACAGCTATATTGCAGTGTATTTCCACAGTGATGGAGACACCTGAGGACATTGGTATGGTCCAAAGGCAGGATGGCTAACCCAGCCTGGGGGGAGAGGTGGCAGGGCTGCGAGGGCAGGAGAAATGCTCCCCCCAGATGTCACCTTGGCATGAGAGAGCATGGCATTTAGGAACAGAGTTTGAGTAGACAGAAAGCACAGAGCCCCTGCAGAGCAGTTGTGAGGTAAGAGGACAGAAAGGGAGTCAAGAGCCTGATCGTGAAAGGCTTTGCACCCTCTGCTAAGGAGGTTGAATGTCATATTGAATGCCAAGGGTAACCATTAAAGGATATTTGGCGTTGCTATGGAGATGAATTGTAGCAGGAAGTCACAGGTGTCAGCAGGTGAGACGTCACCAGGGTTTTGTATGGTTGTGGGAACAGTATGGGGGCAGATGGGAAAGCTCTTAAGAAAGTCATCTGGAGAGGAAGGGGGATGATATCCAATGCAGCGAACTGAGACGTTAGAATCTTAGTTTCTGGCTTGGGCAGTAAGGTAGAGCTAGAAAACCCGGGACACTTAGCTGGCTTTGGAAGGAAGATGCTGAATTTGGTTTTCTGCTGTTGAGCTTGAAGTTTTTTGAGCAGCAGGCGGACTCCAGCAGTGCAGCAGGTCTGAAGCTCAGCAGCGGGAGTTTGAAGTCATCACCCATGAAATTGGTTACGGTTTCCCAGGAAGAACATATTGAATGAACAAGAAAAGCTCTCTTGTAGCAGGGGTCCCTGTGTGAGATTTTTGTTTGGAAACACCAAATCTCAAAGTATATTGAAGATCCCTGATTCAGAAAATGAAATAACGTATGAAAAGCAAAGTGGTCATTCTAGCACGCTGATAATTCACATGCCCATGAATGTATCTTCCTGGTTGTACCCTAGTCTCTTACGATGTTTTTTATTGAGGCTTAATTGATGTACATTATTATGTAAGTTTCAGGTGTGCAACAGAGTGAGTCACAGTTTTTAAAGGTGATATCCCATGTATGGTTATTATAAAATATTGGCTTTGTTCTGTGAATGAAGTAGCTGGGAGACCACATGGTCTGAGGAAAGAGTGAATGCCTGAGATATGCAGCGACCTGAGTTCGAGCCTCGCTTACGACTCATGTGTGACCTTGACATACCAACCCTGGCGGGTTTCAGAGATGGCCCCGGGGTGTGGTGCAGTCAGGAGATAAGGTTATTGGGGGCCCCCGCCCAGTCCCCGGCACAAGGTGGGCCTCAGTATACCGGATGCCTTCCCATCTTGCTGAATAGAAGTGTCGCTTCAGTTTTCACATAATCGGCTGGGTGGCTGTCAGTTTATTTAAAAATCCTGAGAAGCTAACCTGTTGGAGTCACATATGACAGCCTTTTTGTTTAGATTCTTGATTTTGACAGGTGCTCACTAATCTTCAACCTAGGAGAGAGTCACTACTTTCTAAAGCCAGATTTTCCTCGGTTACCTTCATAGGAAGTTTGCTCAGTCGAGAAAGAATTTTTTTTTTTTCCTCAAATTGACTAGTGCAAGAGAAAGCCTGTAACTTCAGCTTCCCCAAAATGTGTTTCTGTGGCAGTCCCTGGAGTTTTCTCCCGTTTCGGGCAGTTACAATGGAGCCTCTATCTGGGCTCAGCCAGTCCAGTATGCGAACAGCATTTCTAAGGAAACGCTTTCCAAAGCCTGGATTCTTCTTGCGGCTAATTGCGTGCTACGCCTTTGTAAAGCAGGTAGAGGGCCGAGGCCAGCAGAGAAGACGCTGGTTTTTGATCGACATTATTTTGTGATTTTTGTTTGCCTCTTCGGAAATAATGGACTAGGAATCATCTTTGGGTTTTGATGTTATGTCCAAAAGTTATAAGTTAAATCTCAAGATGGCACCCCTTTTCGTTGGTGGGCACTGTTTTAAACACGTGTTCATGTAGTCCTACTGGACTTGCAGATAAGATGTTTGTACTAAGCAAAAATAAGTAGCTTAGAAAATTAAGTGCTGAAAGGTAGTTTTTAGCATGTGTGTAGTAAGAAGGTGTAGAGGTGAGGTGAAATAATATTTTCTCTTTTTAAAATAGTAATTATAATCTTTACTTTCTTTAACATATAAGGGACATTACTTAAATTCTAAACGGCAAAAACGAATAATTCACTGTACTTACAACCATGTACCTATTGAAATGGTCGTGAGCCAAGTCACCCCATAACTGATGAAGGCCTTAAGGAAATTGATAAGGGCTTCCCAAAATCCAAGAGAAAATTTAAAACTTTATATATGAGTTAAGAAACATGAATTTTGTGAAACTTTTTAAGAGTGATAGTAAACAAGATGAAGCTATTCTTATTCTCAAGGACCTTAAAATCATGTAAGCTCAGAGTAAGGAGGAGTGCTCAGAAAGATGAGGGGACGTTGAAACTGCCACAAAGGATTAACAGGAATCAACAGAGCTGTGTGGGGTGGGCCTTAGAGAAGAGTGTTCTAAGCAGAAGGTAAATAGTGAACAAGGCTCCGAGATCTGGGTGATTAAAAATGTCAGTGAAGGGAAGTATTAACATAGCCTAAGGAGATAAATGAATCTCATGAATCCAAGCGTGTTCATCACCACAGTCATTCACTTAAACATTTATTAAGCAGTGACTGTGCTGTGTACAAAGATGCTTAAAATGTTAATAAATAAAAAACTAATAAATTAAAGGTCAATTATTTTAGATGCTTAAAATAGAATTGTAAGGAAGGTTGACAGTTGTTGCCCTACTTAATAGTCCAAGAAAATATTGGAGACCATCAGTCATTGCTCGGTTAAAAGAAATATGAGACATGCATAATGTGGAATAGTATACAGCAATTTAAAAGGTAATATAGATGACTCATTGATATAAAAAGATCTTTATTACATATTATTGCTACAAAACATGGATCTAGTTTGTCCTGCTTTTTTGGTTTGCATCCCCTACTAAAATTTAAACTCTATAAAAACCAGGAGGAACTTTGGTTAATTAGGTGAGTGAATAGGACTAGGAAGGATGACAAAAGAATTTTAACAGTGGTTACTTCTGAGGGGTGGAATTGAAGGTTATTTCTTTTATGTATTTTTGTTTTGCATGAATTCTCTACATGAGTATGTATCATTTTATACTCAGACAAAATAATAGATTTATTTTCATAAAACTACTCACTTTTTAACCCTGTGTCAACAAAATGCAATCATGTTAGCAGTTAGTTTCTGCTTGGGTCATCCATCTTTTCACATGCAATTCTGTCAGTCCCACAATCTGGAACTTTCCATTCAGTATCCTCCATGTGCTGGGTCCACATAGAAAAGGAAGAGGCAGATCTAGGGTCCTATTTAGAAGATGAATAGAGAGAAAAGTTCTCTCTTCCTTCAAAGAATGTGTTACGTGGTGGGATGCACTGAAGTCATCTGTGTAAGTCTTCATTTCCCTGTCCATCAAATGTAGAGTTTAAGGGAGGATTGGAAATAGCATGTAATACAAGTGCCTGACACGGAGTAGGCTCTTAGTCAATGTTGCTTCTGTTATTCAGACAGTGAGTTCCAGAGCAGACATCAGGGTTGGAAAAAAAGAACCCAATAAAAGCTTGAAAGAGAAATGTTGCCTTGACAGGAGAGGGAAGAGAGTGAAGGTCTTCCAGCCAGCAATAGACACAGCGTTGTCTTGTGAAAGAGGGGAGTGGAGTGAAGGCCAGGCTGATGGAGACCAGCCAGCCAGGAGCACGTGATCCTTGTGATGGGCAGTGAGGGATTCCCACTGGATGGGCAAAGTGAAGGCTCATTCTAGAAGCCCGTTCGCATTGGAATGTACTCAATGTTTCCAATTTAATTTTTCCAAAGCATCTATTGATCACCTCCTGGTTAAAAGGCAGAAACAGATAGACAGAAATAGAAGTGAAATGTATTACCTGCTCCCAAGAAGAGAATCCTTCCCAGTGGAAATTGTATTTCCTGGGAGAGCAAAACCTACTTTGAGAAAACTGTATTTGACAGTGATTAACGCATCGGCTGGGTTGCAAGGAGAAACCCTAGAAGCACGAGGAATCTCACGTTCTGTTCCCATAGCTTTGCAAGAATTCTAGTTCTTTCCCTGAGAGAAAATCACCGTGACATTCACTTGTCCCCTCTCTCTGCAGCCCCTCCCTGTGTTCACGAAGCCTTCCTGGCAATATCTGCTTCTCATTTATGTTTGTATGCTCAGTGCCTGGTCTGTAAATAGGTGGTCAGGCATCCTTAGTTGAATACGTGACATAACAAAGGAAAGGATACAGGATGCGCACCCTGTGTGTTTTCTAAAGGTATTTCCACAGCTGATACACAACACAGATAATGTTAATGCTTATTAGTGGTGTATCTTCTAGTATTTTCCTGAATAATATATGAACTACCAAAACATATTATTGGTTGCTTGAAATGGTTAATTCACGGGGAAAGGGGTCGCGGTGGTTTTCTAAGGAGTGAGAATGAGTATGAACAGAATATTTCCTTAGTCTTCCTCTCAGGCACCCACTCGCCCCCGCTTCCCTATTGACCCCCAGAGGTTTGGGGCGCACCAGAGCTGCCCTTCGGGGGGAAATTTATCAGATAGGACAGTTCACACCAAAGTAGTGGAGCTTAAGTAATGTACCCTTACCTGAATTCTTTGTCTTATAAAAGAAGATTTAAAAGGGATGACTTCGGGGGTGGAATTTCAGACCCACCGATACTTGGAAGAGAAGAGAGAGCGTTTTAAGTAAGAAAGTGCCCCCTCAGAGGTCCTCACTCCCCCACAAGGGGCTGACAGTGAGGGAAGGTGATGATGGAACCTTCCTGAAGCTCACAGGGAACCTATTTTTTTTAAAGTGCCCGTGTCCGGTTCTGCATACTTTTCTCTCTGGAGTCAGCAATAATTATACGGCAGAGGAAATCGGCTTGGGGAATTTTTATTAACTTGTTAACTAAACATGTTATTCTGAGCTACACATTCTTTTATACAAAATTGAGTATTTATGACCACTGTCAAGTCATCTGGCTGTATAAGTTAACTAAAATTAATTAATTGATCTCTTTTAAACTTTCAAATTTCACTCCCTACCCTTACAAAAAAAAGAGCCACTTACAAAAACCAATTATGTTGAAATATTTCTTTAAAAATTGTATTGATGTATGGTTGGCAGTTCAAAAAAGATGAATCAATAAGATATGGTAATATACTGGAACTTTTGTTGCAAATATTGAATTTTAGAGTGTAAAATTGTTTCAGAAAAAAAGGTCCCTTAAAATAGGACCTATTTAATATTACAGATTTAATTCCTTGGTTTGTATGGGATCAAAATGGAAATGTTCTGTGTAAATTTAAATGTCTAGCTAAACGCTCTGTTTATAAATTAGTATGTGATTCATTTTCTTCAAATGGCAATGAGGGTTAAAAGAAAATGATGGCAGAAAAGGATAAAAGGTTTCCTGGTTTGGGTATGTTTCTGTGCTTTGGGGCAGCAGGTTGGCAATAAAAAGAATGATTTTTACGAGAATGTGATTATTCACAGCAAGGCTAGAGTTGGTGTCACTATGAAAAATTCTTCTCTGGTAGATACTCTCAGCAGGAATAACAGATCTAAAAGAAAGGGAACAGGAGTTACAAAGAACACTGTGGCCAGTGACAAATTACGTTTGCAAAATAATGGGCAAACCCTTGGAAAACTGAGAAATCAGTTCAGTAGTAAATCAAAGGCTTATTCTTAAGAGTAGTTCTGACTTGACATTCAAAAGAATAACATTTGTTTAGATATGTGCTGAGTTTCCTTTTTTTTAAGATTCTGAATTATTATTTTGTACATTGTCAGCCTTTAATCTTTTGTCTTACTATTTTATTTTAAATTCGGTGACACAATTAAAATACGTCTGACATTTTAATGAATAACTGTATAATATAATTTGACACATTATCAAACACTAATGCACTGCCCTATTTTGTATTTAAAGTTATGCAACATTTTCACTGATATCTGTGCAAATTTGTAAAATGCCATATCTTCTTACAGTAGCTGAATTATAAGTGAAGTTATGTACTTGGGCTGAAGCTTTTTGTGTATAATACCATGTGGCAGGGGTATAGAATGCCCTGAAATATATTGTGCTATTGCACGAAATATAACTTAATAAAAGACAAATCTGGTAGCATTAGATACTAGGGATTCACTGCATACCTTTTCATTCACTGGGTACTTCTTATTCATTGTATTTTTTTTTAATTCACTGCATTGTTTTAAAAGTAAATTGTGTTGATATTCGATCGGATATAACATCTGCCATAATTATCAATTAAATAAATCTGTTACTTTTACAGACATAGTGTTGAACAATTTCAAATCAGCCCATTCTATTCTAAAAACTTACTTTCAATTCTTTCTGGCTTTCATTAATAAGCGTTTCTTTTTCTCGCCCTTAAGTTGAGAGTGTAAATAAAGACAGATGTATTCATATAACCATGTAAATGAAGGTATTTATGGTTAGAAAAAAAGGAACTCCAAGGAGAGAGAAACTAGTAATTTTTTATTAACACTGTACCACTCACTAAGAAGGAACTATCTTAGTGTAATTTCTTTCAGATTCTTTGAGCGACATGGTACAGTGGTGTTCTCATGACATCTTACTTTTAATGAGTGCATTTTAAAAGGAATAAATATTATAAGAAAATATTAAGAGTTTTAAATCTTGTTTTCATCTTTAATTATTATAAGAAGCTTGAGAGTCCTATAAATTTTTTATTTAGTGATCTTAAATATTACTACAATTTTGAACATGTACCAAAACATAGCTTAAGCACTCTAACTTATCTTTTGCCTTATTATGCCATCTTCAGGTACCTTCAATAAAGATTTTATTCTCTAAATATTTTATGAATATTCATCTACACAGAATCAGATTGAAAGAGCTAATTAATATCTTACCTTTGTTGAAACTGCTGTAATTCAAACTTGGGTTTTGAATACAGGTACCTAGATTTTCTAGCTAACGTAAACATGATTCTAGTAAAATATCTCTTGCGTTTAGATAATTCCTACAGGTTATTATAACTTTAAATATATTAAAATACTTTTTTTCTAAGTAAGAAACAATAATTAGAAACAGCATATGTCTCCACACGTTGCATCTTATTACCAAATCTCAAAAATAGATGTTAAAATTCTCTCATCAGTTTCTGAGATTTGAGAGTCTGTTTTAATTTTATTTTTCCTAGTAGTTTATAGTCGTGTCGTCTGATTCCTATTTAAATAGATAGGGATATTTAAATATTGACTTATAACACACATTGGCACCAATGCTGTGCTGAGTAGATAGTTTCAAAGTGGGGATTTAAAGATAAATTTGCCCAAGTATATTTTAATTCCTTAACTTGTGTTTCTCAAACTGTCAAACAGAATGAGGCAGATTTCAAAAACTCTCTTTGTTCTCGATCTCCTGTGCCTTAGCCATGGGTAATCTGCACCCTTTCTTTTGCAAGGAAGCATTGGCGGTGGGAAAGCAAGGGTGACCAGGTGCGCCCCGGACAGGCATGACGGGACCTGCTTCCTCCAAGCGCTAGAGTCTTGGGGCTGCGACCCACACACCCCTCCTTCCGGGTGGCCCACGCCATAGGCTTGTCGCCAGTCCAACAAGACGGTCACAGGGGCACAGCAGGGCTGTGGGTCTTCCCTGCATCCATCTGAAAGTGCAGTGAGGGTTTTGACACACCTTTAGAAAGTACCCTGCAAGCGTATTATTCCCCATCACTAAGTATAAACACACAGCACGTTGACTAGACAGCCTCCTTTTTACAGAGCGAAACAGGCAAGTAAAACCGTGGTTTCTGCGAATTTACTACCTCATGGACAGACTTTTTTTTCATTGAAATATAGTTGATTTACAATGTTGTATTAGTTTCAGGTGTACAGCAGTGATTCAGTTATTTATATTATATATGTTTTTTTCAGATTCTTTTCCGTTATAGGTAATTACAAGATACTGAATATAGTTCTCTGTGCTACACAGTGCGCACAGAAATTCTTAACCACAGAGATCGACGCACTGAATCTAATTGTCAGCGAATTAGAAGCAGGATTCTGCACCTCTTTCCCACCAGTTAGCTTGTTTGACCACTCCTTCCCCTACTAGAACTTCTGAATCACAGAGATTCTCTGGGGATGACCCATTTCCCCTTGTTTTTCCAGTGAAGTTATACAAATATCTAGGCAGTCAGGAGTTATTTCCAAAAGCTGCCATGGAAATCACTGCCTTAAAACCTCTGTCACTCAAACACTGGACACCCTGTGATGCCTTCTGTACAATGTAGATTTTCTCTGAGAAAGAGGGTAGTGTGGGCAGATCCACAGCGGGATGCTTCTCTCTCTCTCTTTTTTTTTCCTTTTTCTTTTTAAAGTGCTGCTATCAAAACAAAGCTTTGTGTGGATTGTCTCTAACGTACTGGAAATACTCCTGTCTAATTAAACATTTTCATATTTAGGGCTAAAAGGAAAACTTCTTTCTAGTAACTTGTAGAGCTAACAAGCCAGTGTCTGTATGTTTGGAGGGGAGGTCAGAGCAGTAAGTGTAATTGCTTGGTGACAGACAGGAGGGGACTGAGAGCCCCCCCACCCCGATCCTGTCCTCGGGCTGGCCAACTCCAGTAGGTCTCAGCAGTCACGTGAATGTGGAGACAATGAAAATAATTCTTTCTCTGGTGACTATTTCTCCTTCCATCTTTACTTTGTAAAGGAAAGGCTTGAAACAATTAGTTGGCAGTATGGTGTTAGTTTTCTCATGGTTAATTTGAGAAATGGAGCAAATAGAGCTCCAGTCAGCAGAACTGGGGCTTTATGTAACTCAACTTCTCCAAAGATGGGTCTGTAACATTTTTATATTGTTCCCTTTCATAACACGCGGGCTGCCTCCCAGTCTTCTAAGAGTCTCTGTTTATAAGGAGACTCCAGGTTTACTTGGAGTTTATGGGTCTAGTGTCAGGTTCAGAGGCCTCGCGCCCTGACGTGCTGGCTGTGACGTCACTGGGCCTGGCACAGACAAGACGACCCGTTGTGACTGCCTTAATTCTTTTTATTAATTTTCCCGCCGCAAACCTGAATGATATGGTGTATTTTGACATAATTATGGCCCAAGTGAAAGGCTTTGGGGGGCGGGGTGGGGGTGTACAACCACTACAGTATCAAAGCAGGATAAATATTTGCAGAAAACTTCTGCCATAACTTAATGTTTTGCATATGAGCCCCCATACAAAATCAGAGTTATTCCCGGGGCTGGGTCCAAAAGAGCATGTCTGGGGCCCGGCCCTGAAAGGCCAGAGAGGATGATGGATCAGAAAAGGGTCAGTGTGAGTCGCCGTGCCAAGAATAATGACAGAGGGGACCAAAAAGGCGGAATAACAGTGCAACCGGAGCTCTGGGAGAGACGGTGCCTTGGCCGCTCGGCCTTGAGAGTGTAGCCGGGGTGGCTGCCTTCGCGCTCGCACCGCCAGGCCCGGCGTTCGGCTGCTTTGTGCGTCGGCAGGTTTCCGCAGCCTTGCATGGGAGCGTTTTATAACCCAGCCCCACGGGTGCTGAGATGTCTGCGCGCTGAGGGCCAGTGGTGGCTGCAGCTTGCTAATTTTATTTGTTTCCCAGCTCTGTCGGTGAAGTACAGGCCGTGGAACATAACGGGGTAAGCTCTGGTCGCTTGGTCTGTGGCGCTTATTGAAGGGCGATCACAGAAGCCTGTCGCGTGGAACAGAGTTTGCAGGCTGGCCCTGGCGGGCCCGCTTCATGCCGCTCTGATCCTCCCCAGCTGCCCTCGTTCAGCTACCGTGACTCTGGCCAGACCCTTGCGCCTGGGCCTCCTATTAGGACACGCCGTGTCAGAGTCGCTCCGCACCTCCGCTCGCACTGCCTACAGCCATGCTCTGTACCCCTCCACCCCAGGAAACGCCTGATTGCCACCGTGGCTCTCCTGGAGCTTCCCTCCGCAGTGCCAATCATTTGAAGCCCTGGTGGAGAGAGGAAGGGCTGGGGCTTGTACTGGAGGATGGGAGGGGAGAAACGGACCATGGTGACAAACACTGGACGCAGGTGGGAGTGGGGCAGACGAAGGGGAGGATGCAGGCTGGGGTCCGCTAAACTCAGAACAAGTGACAAGCCACAAAGGGCCTGGGTCCTGGCCCCCACGTGGAGTGGGCAGTTGTCCACGTTGTGTGGCATTGAGGGGTGCTGGGAAGAAACAGTGAACGGCAGTCAGAGACCTGTATGGTATCTCGGCAGTTCGGTTACTTAACTTTTCTGAGTCTTCATACTTGTATCTATAAAATGGGTCATAATGTGAAATGCTATTTTGTCTTCAACATAAGTAACAGTAATTCAACCCAACAAGAGATGGGAGTCTGTGTAAGAGACCCCAGGGCCTGCCTCTGCAGGAACTCCTCAGACTTGTAAGAAATGACCCTTATTGAAGTCTTTCGCCGTGACTTTGAGAGGAGGAGGAAGATGCTCTTCAAGGCATATGGAGCGTCAGTATAGGCTCTTTAGTCATTGAGTGCCAGCGAGGGGTGCAGCCCTGGTGCTTTAGAACTTCTGAAAAGGGAGAAACTCATCTTGGGAGGGAAACAGTGGCCCAACCCTTTGGCAATAGCTCATGGGGTTAATCGTGACATTTTCTTAGTAAAGGACATCCACAACTTTGCCTAGCACTCTTCCTTAGCATCTCTTTGTGAGATGTGAATATATGTGAAATCTGGTTAAAGAAGGTATTAATGACATACTTCTAGCATTGGCTTGACACAGAGCCTTTATACAAAAATGTTGGTTCTGACACCCCTTTTGAGAGCCACGAACAAAAAATAACTCTTTGCCCACCTCTTGATCCCTTTCCAGCACCCACACCAATTCTCACATCTCTTATTTTCGGGGTAAAAGAAACTATATTTAGGAACCTTCCCTCTCACCTCTGGGATCTGTTCATAACCCCACAGAGTCCCTTTGCATCTCTAAGGCTGGGGTATTTCCTAGAGAGAAGGTTGGCTTGCCTTCCTTCCCCTGTTCCCACCCACAGCCATTCAGAAGTAGAGGACCAGCATTGAGAGTCTAGGATCAAAGAGCTATGCTTTGCTTCTGTTACCACAGCTTCGGTGAATGTGCACCATCTCTTGTCGTCCACTGCGTATCTCTGTTGGAGTCCTTTCATCACAAAGGCAGCAACATGAACGGTGGGCCGGGCTGTCCCTCCTGATCTAGCAAAATATCATTTCCGCTTTTCGGACCTCTGCAACCCTCTTGGACTAAACAGATTTCCACTACTTAGCAAGAGGATATTCCTTTGGGTTCCAGGAAGGGACTGCGGCATTTCCCACAACTGCAATTAATTTATCACATATGTGGTTAGTTAATTAGCTTCTGTCTTTCCTGCTAAGCTGTAAGTGCCTTGAGGGCAGGGACCGATCACTTGATGCTGCTTTCAAGGCAAAGCCAGCTCCTGCTGTCACCTGCTGGCCCACATGACTCCTCCCCTCCTGCCTCAGGGCCTTTGAACTTGCTCTTCCCTTGGCCTGCAAAGCTCTCTCCCAGACACCTTCACAGCCTGCATATTCCCCTCACCTGCTGTCTTTTTCTCCTTAGCACTTACCCCTGTCTAACAGATTGTACATTTTGCATATTCTTTTGCTTGGGTATCTCTCCCAACTAGAATGTGAATTCCAAGATGGTAAGGATTTTTGTGTTCATGGTGTGTCCTTAGCATCTAGAACAGTACCCAGAACATAGCTGCCCCTTAATGAGTAATCAGACACATGAATGAGTAAATGACCACCTTTCTAAGCAAAGGCACCTGTCAGCCAGCTTGGATGGGTGTTGAGTGCAGAATCTACCAGGAGTACTTTCTGCCCCGAGTCTGACACCCAAACAGGTTAGGGGTCCTTTGGGCATTTCAAGCTTCAACAGGACAGATTACTGCATAAAATATGCTGAACTGGCTGAACTGGCGGTGGTGGCCCCTGTGTGGGTGCTCTGCCGAGACTTGGATTCGGTGATGACTTGAACTCTTTAAAACGCTACCACATACTTTTTGGAAGTTTATTTCAAAAGTACTTTTTCAGCACATTCAGTCTTTCTGGAATAAAAACTTATTTTCTCGTGGACTCCTGTATGTTCCACACTCTGTGCATGAAGCACCAGACTCGGGTTTTTAGGAATATATTTGGCACTTGAGACTGTAGAAAGCTTCCATTTTTGTCCTCTGAGTCTCTAGATTCTTCCACTGGGGCTTTGCTCTTTTGCTGCTGCTGCTGTTCCGATGGGTCCAGGGCCCCTTGTGCTCCCCCTCCCCCAAGGTCTCTTATTGTCTGGGTTTGTAACGAATGCAGAAACTAAAAACAACCAACTATAGAAAGCAAAAATGAGAACCTAAAATGAGGCTCTTAGGAAGACAAACAGAAAGCTAGATGGCTTCTGAAAAGTAGGAGAAGGCAGGGGATGGGGGTCTCAGCCCCACGGTGGGGACAGTTTCAGGATGTCAGAATGCAGAGACCCACCATTTCTAACATGGGCGCAGATGCATTTAGTACAGGTGCACACATCACACGGCTCTGCTGGGACAGGAAATGGTATTTTGGTATCTTAATATTCTCCATTCTTTGAGGAATTAAAGTTTTTAATAGGTCACCATCAAAATCGTGATATCCTAGTTTTTCATTAATTTTTTTTAAAAAATACACAACTTTATTTCCCAAGACATTTTTGCCATTATTTGTAAACTCATACAAAGACTTAGCGGTGATGAAGCTTTAGGATGTATTTTGTCAAAGTCTGTGCAACAGAATACTTGTCTATTGTGAGGTGAGAGGAACACCAACTCCAAAAGCACATTTTCCATAGACATTTTAATGATTTTTTTTAATTCCTAAAAGCGCTACTCAGGCCCTTTAAAATGCTCTTGATTTTTGAATCTATTTTGATTAAAATGTTTCTATGTGGAGGAGGGTATAGCTCAGTGGTAGTGTGTGCTTAGCGTGCATGAGGTCCTGGGTTCAATCCCCAGTACCTCCATTAAAAAAATACACACACACACACACACACACACACAC